ACGTGTCCCCTTGCACATGGGGTAAATATTCTCCTGAGATTCGGTTAGAGGTTCCTACACGCGCCTGTGACTAGGCCGACTGTTGGGTCCCCGAAGCAATCGACCTGGTGAGGTCGAATAGGCTGCTCGATCGATTATCTGGTCGAGCGATGGATCGGTCGGCTACCTGCTTGGTCGACTATCTGAGTGATCGATTCTTCCGCCTCTTGGCTTGGCTTCTTCCTGGTTTGATCTTCTCGACCGGTTAAATAGACCGGTTTAGCCTTGTGCATATAATATCCTATATCAATATATATTCCAGATATAGATCTGGGCCAAGGTCAAAGTCTACCCTTCAATTAATTTCTCTAGCTATTTCCTAATTCCTACATAGGTATGGACCAGGTGTTTAAATTACATGGAAAAAAAATCAAAATAAATTACAAAAAATATATAATATACCAAATAAGGCAAATATTTATAAGAAAATGCGACGAAATAATAATATATTTTATTTTATAAAAGATCGAAAAATACCTGTCGAGTGGAGGCTTTCCTATACGTGAGCATATGTGAAAGCGACGGGATAATGTAAACGGTGAAGCTCACTAATAGGGCTCCCACCGCGGAGTTGATCGGGCTGAAAAACGGAAAAATTATGGCCAAAAACAAAATCGGTATCACAACAGGGAGCCTAGCAAGCGCCCTCAAGCATATGCTTCTCGTGTCGTGCATTCCGATTACTTTCTCCCAGACAAAGTACAACGGCGTGCATGCGAACTCGAACGTAATGAACTACACGCATGAGCATGATTCATGTTAGTCCCGATAATCGAGCAAGAAATAGTACAAAAGGCTAAATGTTGACTAAGTAGATCTTATGAGTTGGCCGACATTGTAGAAAAACACGATTAAAGGCATCGACGAATTCATAAAATTACTTCGAAATTCACGAATGATTTCGTGATTAGAAATCTTGAATCTCAACCTGAATCAATTTGATTACAACTTTTATATGTTTTGGGAATCGTATACTTTTGTTTGTAAATACCGCATTTCTGATTCAGTCGAATTCATTTATTTGCAAAATCAACCCATTAAAAAAATCGACAAACGATGAAAAGTATGTCTCGATAAGTATCTCAAGTTTTGATACGCCAAATAAAAGTCGAAATGGCTAAATAATTCAATAAATTGATGACATATCAACAAGTTCTTCGCACGAATATCAAGGTTTAGCACGAAAATTTTCGAGCATGAGAACAACGGCAGCATCACGCCAACCAGTTCTCGGGAGGAGAGAGAATGCATTAGCATGAGTGAGAAGTTGATCTCCGTACGCCCAATACATTGCGGAGGCCGATGGTAAGGTCAGAGTGAAAACATACAATGTGGCCAATAGGTAAATGTACTTGAGCTTTCGGGGCTTCCACATCGCGTGCATAATTTCACTGTAAAATAAAAATTAACTTTTTTTATGCATCGGTAAAAAGTAGAACAAGTTGCGAGATTACTAGTGATTTACCACAAGTGAAAAAAAAAAAATATTCCCCTCAAACAAATGGGAACATTGGGCAATTATTGAGGTGATGCAAAGCAGGAACACAAGTGCTTTTCAGAACATGGGCACTGGAGTTTTAAATGTAATGGGGCCATTTGTTACTGCTGGTACAATATGTAAAATAAGCAGTGAAACATAAATTTACACTTCATATTATTGTTTTGGGTAATTAATTTTTACAGTAAGATTGTTTAATATAATTATGCAATCATATATTTTCGACAAAATATACGTTTATTTTCAAACTGAAATGTGAGATTCATATGTATACAACTATAGTACATTTTATTAAAAAAAGTATGACACAAGGGAATACAAGAGTTTGTGTTCAAACTTGTTATAAAATTAGAGGGAAAAGAGAGAGAATAGAGAAAATGTTTCTCTTTGGTACAATTTTCATTATAACTGAAGCTCCTATTTATAGGAAACTTTTGATGGCACAACTGTAATAATATAATTACATCAGGGACAAAATAGTCATTCACGTACATTATTTTATAAATATTTCACAACACTCCTCCTTGAATGACTATTTCTAAATATATTTTAACTGATTAGAACAAAGTCCAATTTGCACATCTTCAAGTATATCTTGTGGCCATCATGTACCGTTGCTTCAGCATGTATGGAAAACTCGGTGGGACAAAACCTGATCATCTTGAAATCATAACATTGCTTTCTCAGGAAAACCCGATGGGACAAAACCTGAGTATTGTGGAAGCACAACATTGCTCTCCCTCAAATTGATCATCATTAGTGGAGTATCCATGTGCTTCCTCGTTAAAACCTTATCAAGAAAACCCAGTGGAAAAAAACTTGATCGAAGGAAAAATAGTACAACTACTCCAGTATCATCATGAGGAATCATAACAATAATCCAGTAGTCCTCATTATACCATGAATATGCCTCGTTAAAACCTTATTAGGAAAAACCCAGTGGGACAAAATCCTAATGAAGGAAAAAGAGTACACTATTCATGTGAATACGCCATCCCTGTTGCCTTATTAAAAATCTTGCTAGGAAAACCCAATGGGACAAAACCTTAGCCAAGGGAAAAAGAGTACAACGCGTATTCCATATATTCACCATAATAACTTTGCCATAATTTTCATGAATATCATATAGGTACATTCAGATTTTCAGATACTGGTGGTATTTATGATAATATGCCATATCATACTTTTGTGCAACTTTCATTCTTAAACTCATTCTTATCACCAATCGATTTCAATGGTCTTACTGCCAATAGTTCCCAGTATTCACATTTCAGTTGACTTCATTCTCATCAATATCATTTATATAGCGCTATTCATTTGTTTGTGTCGACACATATTCATTTCCATTATTCCCCGTAATATATTGAGATATCTCATTATCAATTAATTTCATCGATAGTATATATATGCCTCCTTTCATCACTTATTTGGGGAATTTCAATTTGCACAATACCAATGCTTCCAACGTATCTTTCCACCATCATATCATTTCATATATTTAACCACCATTAGTATCATTCAGTTTATGATTTGCACACTTTCGGTGTGATGCATATATCATTTTCAAAATTTCAATAATTGATTCTCCCCCTCATCTTAACAGATCTGATTTGTATTTTCAGTTTTGAGTTTCTTGAGGATAGTTCATATAATCTCCATTTCGTTCTCGATTCCAACATATAATAGGAGTACTTTGAACTCATATCACTTGTAATGTGCACATTTTTCTTTCATGAGTTCATCATATAAGTTGATTATATTACTAGCTTCATCACTTTCATATGACACTTATTTTCATTCTTTCACAGCCATCTTGTGTCATTCTTTGATCAAACCATCTCGTAACTTCAGGTTACGTGTCATATACATAATCAAATCATCTCGTAACTTCAGGTTACTGATCACACACATGTGGCTATCTAGTGGATCCATAATATCTAGTAGCACACATGGAGGGGTAGTGGGCCCATATATATCGTACCCCTTTCATACTCAGTTTGATCAACAATCGATTCACAAATACCCCCGACAAAGGGGCTGGAGAACAACAACGGAGGCTGGAGAAATCCAAAACCACGGCCCAATCACACAACCATGAAGCCCGTTTGGTCGAGGCCGGATGAGGCCCGCAACCTAATATCCCGGTCGTAGCCGAGGTGGGTGGGCCGTTGTCGGAGGTGATCAAGGTGATATTCCCGGTCTCTATAGAGGGGTTGGCCTGACCGGGCTGGTCGAGTTCCGATAGAGCGCCATTCGGCAAGCCTCCATCAAAACTATCTCTCCGCAATTTCTATCTATAGTTATACACATGACGACGAGTGGCATTGTCTACCAGGTTTTTTTCTGCATCGCAACTAAATTGTACCAGTTTTTCCTGGTTACTGTAACTAATTTATTATGTGATTTGACCTTAAGTTATGACCACTCGCTCTCGTCGTGCTGCGCCAATTCACAAATATTTAGCCAGTAATAATTTCACCAATCGAGAACAAAGTATCTCATATCACAAAGAATCAGTTAATCATTCAAACCATCATCATTTATATCAGTAAATATCACAATAATTCATTGTGACCCATTTATCACAAACATATCACATCATCATTCGGCGGCAATAAATGCACTTCAAGTGTAGATTCTGACCCACAATATTTAAATTCAGAATCGTATCACATGTGTATCAATCTTTCTATCAGACAGACTCTTTGTTTTTAGAGTCGTATAGCATACGCATCATTTTAATAAATTATCATGCATTCCATTTAATCTTTACGAACAAAGGTCCGAATTTACATATGGATTTGACACTCTCAAATATCCTTAAATATTATTCTTTTGTTCCAGTAAATACCATAAAAAGAATTTATCGGTCTCAAATAGAAAGATTGAGGGTGCTAATGATTAATGATATTCTAGGCGATATTCGATGGTTGATTGAAGCAAAAGTTCGATTGTCGGGAGAGTTTCCAAATTCATACAAATATATGCCAGGTATGGGTAAGAGTACTTTTGCAAAGAAACAAAGAGCAAAACGATTAGGTGGGTGCTTCAAATGCCCTCGATGGACATGTGACACACGATGTAAATATGTGGGGTTCGTGTCCAAAAATCGAGAAGATAAAATAGCATTTATAAAGGATGGATTGAGTAAGGAGTCTATGGATCAAACGATCCACCAGATTCTTGAGACACATCCTAGTGGGTATGTGCATCGTGAGCTTCTGTCTCTATGGATTCGTTTCAAAAATGAAGAGGAACATTATAGTCTCGAAAATATTGTTTCAAAAGATCAAGTTTGTAAAACTAGTCTTTGTTAGTATGAAAAAACATACTAATGAAGTTTAGTAGTTGCACTGTAATTTTCAGAGAATCTTATAGCTGCCGAAATATAAGATTTATTTAAAACCCAACACCTTATCTGTCAGTTGCAATTGTCAGAAGAAAATAGTAAAATTATTTATCGCTTTGTAAAACTTTCTATTTAAATAGCGAGTCATTCATCATAATCATATGCCTTACAAACTTTTGAAAAATTAAGGTTATCAATAAATAGATGGATGTTTCAGATTCTTCGCAAGGTAATAAATTTCTTCAGCCGATCAAAACCATATGTGTTCTTGGTGGTTCTAGACTGGTAAGTTTTTCTCAAAATGTTGATATTGTAAGTCAATTAGTAAGGGATATGGAAAAAAAAAATCAATTTACTGTATGGAGGGACTAGCATCACTTTCTTTGATGATCTTTTATTGGCTGGAAAATGTTTTGAGATAGAAGTGAAAAGTATCATACCTTTTCATAGAGCTTCAACAAGGGTCGTCAAGGATTCCATATGCATGATGCTAACTCATTCTATTTATGATTGTATGATGGATATGGCGAACAAGAGCGATGCATTTATCATTCTTCCAGGTGGTTATGGAATGCTAATGACAATGTTCATCCTTGCTTCTTGGGCAGAATTGAAACTTCATAACAAGCTTATAGGTATATTGAATTTTAAAATAACTTCTTTTCTGGTTTGCTTGGATTTCTATACTAAAGAGTATATCAAACATTTATATCTCCTCCAACGAGAGAAGTATTCAAATCTTCAGATACGTTCGCTGAGCTTATAAAAAATCTACAAGAATGCATCACATTTCAAGAGTCTGTGGAAACACAAGGGGTTAAGTGAAAAAGAGCTTTTGATCCTTTAGATCTCTCATTATGAACCCGAATAACAATAATGGGTGGTAGAGTTACGGAGTTTTATACTCTCGAGACGCACCCTTCTTTTATGGGTTCTATTATGTAAAATTTGTGTATCTCGTATTTATCGAGTATGTACTGCCTCTTCTCCATATTTCCACCATATGAACTTTTGTACTTGTTTCTTATTAATAATAATATCAATTACACTTTTCCACAATATGAGCGTGTAGTACTTTTATGACTACAATCATTTACCATATGTGTTTCTTCTGGAGCACTTTATTGTAATATGTATGTGATCTCATATTATCAATTTGATATTGTCATCCAATATCTTCCCTTAGACTCATATAATATATTGAGAAATCATTTCGTGTGATCACCCATAATTGGTAACTTTTCATACTACTTTCTCAAATTGTTCAATTTTCTAACGATAGCTTCTGGTACCACTTTATCATTTTAATTTATCATATCGTGGTAGTTTCAAATATCACGATACCATGATATCATCATTATGTGGTAGCTTTTGGTATCATATGGTAACTTCTGGTACCATCTCATTGATTTTCGTTACTCCATAAAGTTGGAGAATTTATCAACTGTTTTTCATGATCATGTTAGTCCATATAATTTTCTTTCACGATCAAGACTTTATTCAATGTTCACCTGGCCAGATACAAAGTATCATTCAT